CACGCGGGTCTACTATAATTCCATTTCTGTAAAGAAATAATTCTTTTTCGCAGAATATACTGGTACTCCACTGATTCTACGAGCCACGGTTTCTCTTTTAAATTAGACCACAGAATACCTGTATACTTAGGTCGAGGATAATGATATCAACAACGTCTGCTTACATTCGTGACGTTGTACTGTTGCGATACGCGTACAAGGATGAAGAAATGTTCGATCATAAGTTTCTCTTCTTGCATTATTTCCCAACGGTAAATTATTATCGTTCCTAAACGAGCATGTTGTTTTTGTGTATAATAAGGTACTAAAAAAATGTAGATTGTATTAATATGCTATTTCTTCACATAAAATTATTACAAAAAAATTGAACGTACAAATACATTTTTGACCCACTGTATGTAGAACAGTTTGCGTTACCCTTACTTAGATTGAATAAGCAAAATCGTCTAACGTACGGTTCTTTACAGTGAAATCATTTCCGTTTTCACCGCGTAACGGTCCTCCCTTCCCGAAAAGGCTAATCGAAAATGCAAAATTTCATGAAATATTACCAAGGAAGGGTTACTTTCGAAGTAATCAGTCGTTAGATGAAATATTACATTATTGATGTATCGACTAAATATAAATTGCTTAGAAATTAACTAATTTTTATTTCCCGCTAATTCTAAAAGTATCATTACATCTTTCGACAATTTTATATCAATACATTTAAGATAACAAAAATATAAATAAAAACACTTAGCAGTAAACCGAGAAAAATTGTAATAATCGTAGATCTAGCCTAAAGTAACGGTTAGCAATAAAGAATTAAAACCAAATTATAATCCATACTTCAAATATTGAAAAATAATCGTTACACACAATCATTTCTACTCGATATTGCAATTATTTATTAACACTTAAAATCCGCTGTCTTTAAAAGATAGACATTACTAAAAAATTTTCCCAATCTTGCAGCTCGTTCGTAAACACGAAATAACACGTTATTTATGCGTTACAGTTGCAACAACAAAATTATTATCAAATTAATTTGAAAAGCATTTAACTTTCTTCTACGCAATAGCCTATTTATTGTTTATTTACAGCGTCATTTTTAATTACAGAGTTTATTTACAAAGCCCGGGCTTTTGCCCCAACAAACAGTAGGACTAGGAGGGAAAATTTTGAAAAAGGTATTATACATAGTCCGACTGTAAAAACATTCTTACAAAGTACTAAACAAATACTGAACGTAACACAAACTAAGCAACAATGGATTTGCTATTATGGAACATGAAGAGTCACCCTTGTTTACACCGTGTTTACGTATTTAAATGACACGTACCTTGAAACGATTCAGAATGACTAATAATTAACGTCCCTAATACCGATACCATGTATAACCGTGTAATATACGACTACTATGTTTAATTTCATACTCCCAAATACTGTCCTGACATGCCGGTACAAGTTTAACATCAGTGTAATATCGCTGGTTAGCATTCGTAGTGGCATAGCTGAAAAATTTCAATTTTGATCTTTTTGCACTGATATATTCCACAGGTACAGTAGTTTTGTCACCTAGAACAGTGCATTTCTAACTCCATTAGTTTCATACCAGAGAGCAGATCAGATTATACGATCAGTATTGAACTATTGGTCAAATGCAGACTTTAAACTGCTTTTCCTGTAAAATTTACAAATTTTCTTATATCACTGTCAATGTCAAGCAGCGATATAAAGATTTGACCAATTTTTTAGTCTTAATTTTTTTTTAGTCATACTTTTACACGAATAAAAAATACCGTCGATGGATAATTAACCGTCGGGCAGCGACCTGGGTCATTGATGACCCAAGCCAAATTTCACTCTTCTACTTCTTCGGAAAGAATTTTTATTTTTATAGAAAAAGATTTGAAATATTTGACTCAACGAACAATTGTGTAATGTAGTAGACTTTGGTAAGTATCCCGGAAATTTGTTGGATTTCTTTTGAGCCTAGAACAGTAAAAAAATTAGGTCTACGGAGTGTCAGAAAATATATTTGCCTACGTGGGGTTAAAAGAACGTTAAGAACGTAAATGCAAGATGTCTGAATTCGTACTTTTCTCGTTACGCTTACTCAGAGTCGAAGTAACATGTTGAAAAGCCTACCCCTAAGTTTCTTTGAGTTATCACGCTTGTTAATTAAACGTTCGCTATGTTGCCGAAGTGTACTTTATCGAGAATTATGTTTCTTTTCTTTAATATCACACGGAATTTAATATTTTCCCCGTTTCGAATGTTTGCAAATAAAACAAGCAAAGTCGAATTCGAGGAGCTTGGAAAAAGGGAAAGGCAGTAAACACGCCCCGCAGCATGAAGCACGCACTGCGTAGAAAGTACCCCTCTACTTCAGTCAACGACGCGCTGGTTCCACGAACGAAAACTAGGTCATCACCTACGATACTCGTGCTAAATCGTGCCGAAAACTCACTTTCTGTACAGGGTGTCCCACAGGTTTCCGTAAAAGCTTTGCCAGTCTGTTCTATAGCTGTTCAATAAGGCTAAAATGTCGTATAAAAGAGTCCAGAAATGCTTCGTTAAACAGTTGGGGCAAAAATGTGAAAGGTGGCGTAACGAACACTATTCCAACAATGGAATCTTGCCCTCCTGCGTCATTTGAACTTACACATCTATGTAGATTTTGACCGTAAACGAAAAAGTTTGTAATACGGAAGTATGTACTGAAAATGAATTAATTGAGAGAATGAACATTGTATGGGAAGACAAAATCAAGACAAGTCTATTACGCCGATATCAAGGCAGCGGTAATTTCAAAATACAAACATAGATTTACAGCATTTACTTCGAGTTTCCTATTTTTGTTGTAACTTTTTAATCTATGGACACTTTTATGTGACATTGTAGTCTGATTTTCAGCTGAACGACACACTAGAAATGTTTGCACGAAAACCTGTGGAACACCCTGTATATTTTTTTATACGAATGTACATAATATTAAGGAATAGTGTAAGTCCACGCAAATATCGCAAATTTTCTCCCTTTTAATGCAACTTAAATCTATATCGAATTTATTGCAAAACACATCATGTGTGCATTTATTGATCCAATCTTTATATCGCAGGATACAATCGGAAATAATAATAAAAATGTACAGACAATTGTATTCGCATGAAGTTTATTTAACGGTGCAATCGTTTTATTAATTTCGCATGCCGTTAGATTTTTCTACCGCGTAAATACCTTAGATTTTTATTATAGTTCAGCTTGTTTAAATGACTAATGCTTTTGTATCAGATAAAATAGAATCGTCAAACTGTACCGCAACGTTTCAGAATAACAAGTACAGTTGATGGTCGTTGAATATAATGTAATTTGCTCCGATAGCACAATAATAATGAAGAAATGCGAAATGAAATTCTACCTGGAAAGTTACTTAAAAAAAGGAAAACCATACCTACAGCCGCCAATACATTTACACATACAATCCATTCAACCCATGATTAACATGAAATTTTCGTCTCAAATTATGATAAATATTAGGAGATGTATTTTACAAAACCTATTAGACAAATTAACATAATTACTATACCTACCGACTAACGTTATTACTGTTATTGTCAAAAACTTAATGAAATTGGTACCGACACAAGTACAGAGACACGTAAATTTCTCGTAATAAGAGAAACTGATATACACTACCGGCGAAAAGTTTGGAATCACCGAGCATTGGAATTTACAAAAAAATTTGCAGAAAAAAGTCAGCGACTTTGAGAATTTTTTATCGTTCGAATCAACTGATACGAGATAAATTGACAAATGTAAAATTGAGATAAACTTGAAATCTATAAAAAATTAGCAGCAGATTTAATATCGATAAAAAGTGGGAGGTGATTCCAAACTTTTGGCCGGTAGTGTACACTTTGTCACATACGAGATTATTGGGAAGACAATATTCCGACCAGCGAATCCAATAAATTGTAATAGTTTTATTTTTCTTCGTTGTACATTATATTTCACGTATCGCTATCTGTCCTTTTGAAAACACAGCTTGATGTGTTTATCGTAACAGGGACAAAAGATTTACGCAGAAGAAGTGACTTCAGACACCTACAAAGTACAATTCGCACCTTGTCCTCATATCTCGCACACATTGTATCGCGCACAAACAATCAGAACACCGTGTTACAACTAACACACACTTTCGATTCTCTATGCCTCTGTACGTTTCTCAATTAATCTACGTCCTTTTCCCGTGCGTTCTATATTTCGAAATAACGACTACGTAGGTACAACTTAAAGCCGAAAGAAATTCTTCCTATCGACAGAAAGAGCTGAACTTTCCGAAACTCCGATCAATATATTTGTAACGAAACACATGAATTCGACAGAGAAACGACAACTTAAAGCCTAACGATGAAATAACACGAACGAATTATTAACTGTGCTTTATTCTATCGCGTTTACAATTCTACTCGAATAAGCAGTACCGAATGAACGTAAACATACGTTAAAAATGCAAGTGGTAGAAGGAACATTTACCAGCGTTCCTGCGCCCTTATTGTTTGATGTTCAAAGAACGCAAAATTGAAACCAACCTCTTATCGAATAGGTATACACTCGAGTACCAGAACATGGATCTTTCCGATTCCTTTTAACCAGGGAAATCTTAATGTCCCAACTTGAAACATTTCGCGTATAATCAAGTCCGTTTATGACTATATTAGTTGTGCAATATGAAATTGAAGCGTGCACAGCCGATACGAAAGGAGACAGTATTACAATAAATAGATGGTAATCGTATTAATACATTTGCGAACATATCTTTCCTCCCTTTCTCTCTCTCTCCTTCGCTATGAAATATCTACAAGAAACGGATATTAAAGCGGTAATTTCAAGCTTGAACCAGATCCAAGGTGTTCGAAAGGGCGACAGAGAATGTAGGAAGACAAAGAGTACGTGAAAGATAAAGCAAGAGAGAAGTAAGAGAGAGAGTAGATTATAAATGAGAAACTTACCAAAATACGTCCAGTGGTGGTCTGTCCAGAAATCAGTTCACCGGCCCAATCCTTGGCTTCGGTCATAAAAGTCCCCTCGAACTCCTTGCCCTGGCGGCTCGTCTTTTGCTCTTTCTGTTTCGGGTCATTTGGGGAGAATTCGGGTTCCTTGCGACAGCAGAGGAAGGCGAACGCACGCCAGAGGAGTACGATCAGCAGCCCGGCAAGGAAAGTGAAGATGCTCGACAGCAGGAAGCACCACCATTTCCGTTCCTTCAGGCAGTCGTCTACCGGGGGCTGCTCGGTCGTCTCTTCGGTCGTCATTACGGTGGATCTCTGCTGCCCCCGGATCACACATTCACCGGCAGCTATCATAAGCGACGGCCAACAGGGCGCTCCTTATGCGCTTCATAATTTCTTGCTGCAACTCTGCACGCCTTGCGCTTCGTTGCAGCTTTCAACCACGAACTAGCTTCGCGCAGT